ACTTAAATACTGTAACAAAGTAGCTTAGTCACTATACAACTCTGCTTACCTAAGCTTCAATGCTTTTTGCATCAAGTTACCTAACGATAAATTTATTAATCATAACAACCAACCTATCTAAACATCAGAAATTACATATCGTTTTTAAGGCGGTGGCTATCTTCACTTCTGGAYCCCGAGGATACCACTGCAGCTGGACAACTCTGTCAACAAAGATCGTGGTTCAACTTTCTTTTCAGYCTTGAGCCTAATTTGGAGTCAAGCCTTTAAAAAATTGCGAAAAATTTAATGTATGCCACTGCAGAAAACTAAAACCATCGTATGTAGCTAGATGATTAATGAGGGGAAAAACTGTAAAAAGGGAAAGGTGGATTTCTATTGGGGTATTTTAGAACTAGGTGTGTGTTTGWAAGTCTGCTGGCCTACATTAGCATACCGGTTGCTCAACATGCTTGAACTTGAGGTCGTAAGAATCATAAATAAAACTGTCAGAGGGCATTTTTTTTGGCAAGTGCTGATCATGAACAGCAGCCCATTAGCTTGTCATCTATGATGTCTGTAGTTGTGTGTTTTTAAATCTGTGGGCAAAACAGAAAAATAAATTACAGAGTGCTTGTATTGGACATGACCGCATAATAAGATCATGTTCACATCATCATCTGGGACTGTGTCGTCCTGTGTTTTTCCCTTGTTGTTAATTTTAAAATGACTTGTTTTTCTTTTGAACAAAACCAAATTGTGTGTAAGAAATGCTACAAGTATCCCTAGCACATAAGAAGTCCGCCTCCATAGTCATAAACTTTTCACTTTATTAAGTATGCACCTCAAAACAGATGGAAAACAAAAATGTTTTGACGTGTGCACATGCTTAAGAAAGAAACTGAGCTGAGGCGCTACTGCGCTTGATGCTTTCTGCCAGCTCTCCCCCGTGGGCTCAGACGAAGCTTTGCTGTGACGGAGAGAAAYCAAGAGGTATTAAGGAAGCTTTGTGAAACTTTCAGCATCAGATGTACTTTCTGGCACGTATATTGCAAACRGCCATCAAGCTGGTAATGAGGGAGATCACAGAGATGACATGTTTGCAGATTTGGCCGAATGGAAAGAGCATGCCTTCTTGGAAACTGTTARTTCAGAGACGGTTGAATACCAGGGAGGTAAAAGAACAGAGAAAAGAGAAAAGGACAAATCTGATATGATTTCTATTTTTATCCTAGCTCACAACCAAAAAATAAGGACCTCTTGTGTCTCYTTGACAAAAGTATCCCCTGTACCTAAAGCTCTGATCTAATGATCCGATTCATAACCCCTCGAYACATCAAAGCTGAACCTCAAATCCTCAGATATTTGTCCGCTACTGAAAAAGTGTTTTTCAAATGCGCTGTMTTCTGGTCATCTGCCACCTCCATGTGTAGTGACCCCAAATCCTGCTTCCTGTATGAGCTCACCATTTCTCAGAAAGCCTACATCATTCAGGAGACATAAACATTGAACTGGAGACAGAGTGCGCGCGCACACACACAC